TTTTGTTTTGAGACAGGGTTTCTCTGTGTGACAGCTTGGCTGTCCTGGAACTCAATCTGTAGACCAGGCTGGCCTCGAACTCAGGATCATCCTCTTACTTCTGTTCATATTCTCTCTCCCTCCACCTCTCTCTCTGTGTGTCCAATATAAATAAATAAATATAATAAAATTTACATAAATCTTTTGGGGCTTTTGGATAAAGATTTCATGTAGCCCAGGCTGTCCTCAAACTTACCATGTAGCTCAGACTGGCCTTGAAGTCCTGGTTCCCTGGTCTTTACCTCCCAAGTACAGAAGAATTTAGCTACAGGTGTTCACTACCATGCCCAATTTACACAGAAAACTCACTATTCTTTTTTTTTTTTTTTTTTTTTTTTTTTTTGGTTTTTCGAGACAGGGTTTCTCTGTGGCTTTGGAGGCTGTCCTGGAACTCGCTCTGTAGACCAGGCTGGCCTCGAACTCACAGAGATCCGCCTGCCTCTGCCTCCCGAGTGCTGGGATTAAAGGCGTGCGCCACCAACGCCCGGTTCAAACTCACTATTCTTTTGAAAGCTTAACTGAGCCTGGCCCAGTGGTGCACATTTGTAATCTCAAAGGGGGGGGTGAGGAGACTGTTCAGAGTTCAAGGTCACCCTGTACTACATAGCAAGCCCTTGAAAAAATTGACAGAATAGATTTTAATTTAAATGACTCAGAAGCTCAAGAGAAGGAAAATGTGGCAAAATACCCCCAAAATATAGCTGCTTATATGTTTAATGAAAATTAATAAAGGGCATTAAGAAGCCAGCTGTGGTGATGAATGTCTGAAACCTACGACATACCAGGATGAAGCAGGGCTTCTGGAGACCAGAACTTAAGGTTGACTCGCACTTAGAGGACCCTGAAGCCAGTCTAATCTATGAAGGCTCTGGGTACAAGCAGACGGCCAGGGCCAGGGTTGGGATCAGGTATGGGCACCAAAACACCAGGACGTTGAAGCCTGTTGAGAGGGAGGAACTCTAGGAGCAGGCGCTTCTCACTCCAAGTCTGTCCATGTGTGCAGGCAGTCCCCCCTTGTCTTGGACTCTAAGAAACTGTCTGACACTTGGCCCAACAATGACCAATTTGGGGGACAGAGTGATGGCTCAGTGGTGAAGAGCATCTGTTGCTCTCCCATAGGACTCTGGGCACCAGAGAATGACTGACTGACTGAGAGAGAGAGCCTGCAGTAAACAACCCAAAGGTGTGGGGGCCAGCCTCCTTCTGGGGGTGGAGTGTGAGGGGATGTACATCCGGGAGAGCTCTGGAGAACAGGCAGAGGGGTTCCCTCTCCTTCTGGTACAGACAGCACATTGTATAATCCCGGGACTGTACAAAGGCCAGCTGTGCCCAGGAGAGGAGACTGGTGTGAGAAGTAATGGTGAGGATCACTTCTCACTGCGGAGAGCATCAGGACCTGGTCAGGGTCTTCCAAGGCTGGGCTTCAGAGAGACAGACACTCTGACCATCTAGAACCTTCCAGGAGATGGGGGTGGGGCAGTGTATTGGGTGGCTCTGGGAACTGGGGTGGCTGGAACTGCCCTGTGGTCAATGCAGGAAGACACCCTGTCTCTATCACTGCTCCTAACTGGATTACAGGGCTCCTTGAAGGTAAGATTTGGGGAAAATGGTTCTGGGTGGCCAAGGACTATCATTATTTTAGTGCCGAAGCCCCCAAGAAGTGAAAGTCAGTGTTTAGGAAACTATGTAAAAGCAAATCCAAGGATTCCCTCACCAGAGGCGGAAGCAAGGCAGTGTCCAGCGACACAGTCCTCACATTCACACTCACATGCAGGTCCTCACACTCAACTCACACACACACAGCGCAAATGTCAGAACACCCAGACACACACAGGAAGACACACCCAGACACACGTCTGAGAACACAAACATACACACTACTGCACTCCTTGGAACACAGAGTTCCCGGAGAAAGGAGCCTGGTGATTATCTGCCTAGAACCTGTGTCCCCAGGCACAGACCTGCTCTTGATGCCTCGCTGCTGGCTTTGACCAATGACCTTTCTGCAGCGACCCCAGAGCAGTTGTTGGGGAGGAATCCTTGCATGTCTGGCTGTCCTGGGTTGGCCTAGCTCTGGTGACCAGAGGGCTGGGGACATACCTGCACTCATTCTCAGACTCCATGGGGACAGGCAGCAGAGCCACAGGAGCCATCTACAGAGCTCAGCTTGGGCTTTGTAAAGAGGTGTGCCTTCTTTGCCTCACCACACAGTACTAGTGCTGCCCTCTGCTTCTCCATGAGATCCTGCCAACTCCGTCCCCTCCACAGCTGGAAACAGCTGCTTACAGCTTCACGGCCTGCTGTTGCACCTTTCCCTGTCTCAGACATCCTACTCAGTCCCCATCTTCCCACCATGCCTACCTTTGCCCTCCCCTCCCCACCAGGGCTTTGACATCCTGTTCCCTAGGGCCTCTGTTTCCCCACCCCCCATCCTCCCCTCCCTGGCCAACTCTGATCACCAGGACCCAAACACCCCACTTCCTCTGATTACTTCCTTCCAGTGGGTCCTTATCTCCCCACCCCTACTCAGGTTCTGTTTCCTAGGGGCCCTTTCCTCTAGTCTATCCACCCCCTCCCCTCACAGCCTGCTCCCCACCTTCACAAGTGCCCCGCACCCCTCAGCAGCCTCTCCCATCATCAGGGTTTGAAGGTGTTACCCTCTCTCTGTCCATGCCCCCCAATACCGCCCAACCCTGCCTGGGCACTCCTGAGGGCTGCACCCCTGCATTTGCAGGCACTGCCCACAAACGACCCTGGGAACTTTTTCTGGGAACTTTTTCCCGTCATACACGTAGCACCATGGGACTGTGTTCAAAGGAGCCTGTTTTTATCAGGCTCCAGACATAAGGAAAGAATTAAGCTTCTTAGGAGGTATGATTCCAAATCTAAAGAGTCTTGTCTTGGAAGCGTCTCTTTGAAAGCTGGGAAAGGCGATGCCGCCCCTCTTTCTTCGGAGCCTGTGGTCATTCCTTTATTTGTTCAGGCTGCACGCAGCCACAGGGATCCAGAGGTGAACATCTGCTTTTGGTGAGAGGTGGAGCCCTGGTCCAGAGCGCAGTCAGTCCACCCACCTACCAGGGCCTGGTACTCACCAACGCACATGGTGCAGAACAGCGTCACCCAGACACCCAGGCCAGTTCCCTCACTCAGGTCTGATCTCACTCAGGTCTGATGTCTGACTTTAGGCAGACACAATCTAAAGACATGAACAACCCCGCCCCCATAGTTCTGTAGTCTGAACTGACACACCCTCTGGGCAGTGTGGTAAATTTCATGACTGTGGGCTCAGTACTGGCTTCTGACCTTACCCACCCCATAGTGACTAGGTAGCCATCTCCATGATTGGATCAATTGTCACTACACACCAAAGACTAGCCATGAAAGTACTTCCTTCAGGTGAAAAGGTGAAATTCACTGTGTAATAAACAAATTAAAATCCAGGTTCTAGGGGCTGGAGAGATGGCTCAGTGGTTAAGAGCACTGGCTGTTCTTCCAGAGGAACTGGGTTCAATTCCCAGTACGCACATAGCAGTCTACAATGAACTCTAACACCAGGGGATCCAAAACCTTCACACATACATGCAGGCAAAACACTAATGCACATAAAATAAATAAATCATTAAAAAGAAAACAGGTTGTAGCACTTACAACAATCTAAGGGTGTTTGGCAGGGGTAGGGTGGGGGTGGCCATAAACTCTTAGCAATCCTCCTGCTTCAGCCTCCTAAGTTCGGACATTACAAATGTGTGCCACCTTGCTCAGTTAGCTGTTTTTAATTTGCCATCGCTGAATTTTAGCTTATAAAATCATAGACAAAGGATAAGTAGTCAAGCCAGACACTATGTGAGGTTCAGGCAACCACAGGGTTCTTATAACACATACCCTGTGCATGTGTGGGTATAGTGTCACTTATCAAATCATGCCCCCCCCCCCATAACACACTCTTATAACACATACCCGGTGCATGTGTGAGTATGGTGCAACTCTATCAAATCAACTGGACATAGCATAGGGTAGTACTCCCTTTCCTTAGTCACTTTCCCTCTCCCAGACAGAACTGGGGACCTGACTTTTTCTGCTGCCTTGACTCGTTCCTCCTCCCTTGGGCTCCTGTCCCTCTTCCCTTGGACCAGGGGCTTGTTGACTTGTACCACGGCCAGGAGTACTAGACCCATGGCATCCAGCCGAATAGCACAGTGTGTAGAACCGGGGCTAGTGACCAACCAACTCCTGACTCCTGCTCATGGGAAAGGTTGAGGGATTCCAAGCTGGAGAGCAGTGAGATCAAAGAGGTCAGGCCACCACCCCACCCTCGTCTCTCATTTTTTTCCTCCCTTGTACTGCTATGCCCCTCAGATGACCTACACCCATGACCATCAAGGCAGACACGGCATCCTCTCTCAGACCAGCCTGTGTGCCAAGCAAGATTTCTGGGCCCACAGTGCTTTCATCTCTCACTGACTTCACTGCTGTAAACACCATCCACCATGATATAAACCATTAAATTAAAAACACACCTCACATGTGGAACAAATCCCAACAGCTCTGTGAATGGGCTGCACCCAGCCCTTTCACTGTAAGTCAACAAAGCAAGAACAGAAACGCCTTCTTCCACCACCCCCCCCCCGTCCCCCGCTTCCCGGGTGTGGCAGCCACTGTGACTGTCTCACCCAGGCCCTCACTGGGTTTCTAACCTGGCTGCCAAGCTGCCACCACGCTGCTGAGATGCTCGTGGTGAGAGGTGCCCACGGGGTGACAGGTGCTGGTCATCTCGTGGGAAGGACTGAACAGTGAGAGAGCAGTCCCTCTCCATCGCATCACTGGTGTCCTTTCTGTCTCAGTTAGATTACATGGAACTGAAGTCCCTGGACACCGGCAGGAGTAGGAGCTGACAGTGGACGCTCCTATTCAGAGGACAGGGAGGGAGGCTGCATGCACTGGAGCTGGGCCAAGGGTCTTACCTGGCTGGGACGTGGCACTCATCATCGTACATAGGAAATAGGGGTAGCTGCATATTATAAACAGGGAAATAAAAGCTCAGAGCGCAGCAATGAAGAAGAGGCAGGGCGTGCCCTGCAGGCCTGGGAGGCTCTGAGAATGTGTGATTCGCAGAAAGCCTGCCAGCGTGGAGGGAGGGAAGGGCAGAGGTGGGACAAGAGGAGGGACTGTCGAATTTCTGTCCTAGTTTCCTGTCTATAGCTGTGATGAAACACTCAGATCAAAATCAACCTGGGAAGAAAAGGCTTATCTGACTTGCATTTCCAGCTCACAACCCAACACTGAGGGAGCTCGAATCAGAAGCCATGGAGGAGCACTGCTTGCTGGCTTGCTCTCTGGCTGGCTCTCAGAGATTTCTTATACAGCCCAAGACCCCCTTGATAGGTATGGTAATGCCCACAGCTGGTTGGGCCTTCCCACAGCAATCATAGTCAAAGATAACCCCTTACAGACAAGGCCACACACCAGTCTGGCCAAGGCAATTCTTCAAGTGAGGTTCCCTCTTCCCAGGTGACTCTAGGTTATCTCATGTTGACAATAAATACTAACCAGGATAATTTCCAGATCTCACTGGATCAGAAGTAAGGGCCAGACAACGGCTTTGTGGATGAAGGAAAGAGAAAGGCAGGTTCTTAGATGCCATACTATTTCAAGGCTACTGTACACACAGTTTTCTCAGTTGTCTGAGCAAGCATTAATGAGGTACTGGTAAGCCTCTGCAGACGTAATCAACACCTGGAATGAGCTGATTCAGAGATGGAGTGTGTTCCTTTGGGCCTGGCATCCCCACTGGAGAACACAAGCTCAGGAGGTACAGCTGGAGGGTCTATGTGGTTGTGAGTGTGGAGACAGAGGTTGTGTTGAGAAGAGAATGAGGGACTGACAACAGTCTGGTAGCCAGAAAAGTGGCAGCCTGGCTTACTGCGACAGAATCTGAAGTCTACCACCAACCTGGTTGCACTAGAAGACCTCAGTTGAGCCTAGATGAGGATATAACCCACTAACACCTAGATTACAAATCCCAGCCTGGGAAAACGGATAGTAAGATTCTGTTGTTTGAAACCACATGGTTTGTGGTTCTTTGTTCTGGCACACCCAGAAAATGAACATAGATTTTTATTATTAGGAAGTAGATGCTGCTGTAGCAAAAACTCTAAATATGTACAAGTAGCTTTGGGATTTAGAAAAGATCTCAAGCATGTGATAGAAAAAGCAGTCAGCATTCCTATACATGAATAAGAAAAATAAAGTCACGGAAAGAAATGCATTCATGATAATCTCAAAAAAAAAAAAAAAAAAGGAACAAAAGAAAAACCAAACCCGAAACTCAGCAACAACAAATAAATAAAAATCATGGAATAAATTTAACTGAGGTGTGAAAGACTTCTATGAAATTTTACACAAATTATTAAACTTGGAGTTGGAGAGATGGCTCAGCAGTTAAGAGCTTTGACTGCTCTTCCAGAGGACCAAGGTTCAATTCCCAGCACCCACATGGCAGGTGCCAGCTGTCTGTGACTCCAGTTCCAGGGGACCTGACATCCATGCACATAAGATAAAAAATAAATACATTAAAAAAAAAGAAATTAAACTTCTGAAAAATTTCAAACACCAATAGAAAAAAATTGAAGAAGACACTAGAAGGCAGAAATGACTCCCATTTTCATGGATTAGCAGGATTAGCATTGTGAAAATGGCCGTCCCATCAAAAGTAATCTATAGACTCAAGGCAATTCCTATCAAAATGTCATCTTAATTCTTCACAGAAATTCCAGGGGGGGGAATCTTAAAATTCATTTGAAAGCACAAAGGATCTCAGCCAAAGGAATACTGAGAAAACAAATATTGCTGGAGGTATCACCATACCTAATGCCAAGTTATACAGTAGGATCATAGTGACAGAAACAGCATGGTATCAACATAGAACCATAGATTAATTAAATAGAGTTGAGGGCCCAGATGCAAGGCCATTCAACTACAGCCATCTAATTTTTGATAAAGATGGCAAAAATGACACATTGGAGAAAGGACAATATCTTCAACAAATGGTACTAGGAAAACTAAATGTCTACACATAGAAAGTTGAAGCTAGATTCATAACACTTATTACCCTGCACAAAAGTCAACTCCATATGAACCATGGACCTCAACATAAGACCTGAAACTCTGCAAGTGCTGGAGTTAAAAGTAAGAAGTACACTTCAAAATACAGTCAGAGGTAAGGACTTTCTGAATAGGACACTGGTCTCTCTGAAAATAAGGCCAATGATGGACAAATAGGATCTCATGAGATTAAAAAGGGTTTGTACAGCAAGGAAACTGTCAATCTAGTGATGAGGCAACCTATAGAAAGAAGAACCTTTGCTGACTGTATATCCAACAGAATTTTACTGTCTAGGATATGCAACGAACAAGAGAAACTATAAACATCAATCAAACAACTCAACCCAATCCAAATGGCCTTGATTTGGGAATACATGTAATATTAAAGTGGAGGGAACAGTGGGTTTAAGCTTAAGTAGCAATGAGGACAGAGACAAGACTAATCAAAACTAAGGATGTGTAGAAAAGCTTTATGGAAACCTACTACTTTGTAAGCTAATGATAAAAATATAATTAAAATAAAGAACTTTTAAGGAAAGTATTCTGCATGAATGGGTAATGCTACTCCCAGAAGACATAGGACAAAAGTCTCAATGACAGCCATGGGATACCTACCCCTCTCTGAGTTATTGGCCAAGGAGGCCTCAGTGGCCCCCCGAAATGCCACAAGCTATCACAAATGCTCTTGATCTGCAGTGACTGTTCATTTAGTTGTCAAATTGACACATCCTAGGATCACCTTGTGGGGAGAGTCTCAATTAAGGACTGCCTAGATTAGGCTGCCTTGTGAGTATGCCTGTGAGGGTAAGGTGGGCAGACCTACCCTGAACACCAGCAGCACCATTTCATAGGCTGGGCCCTGGGCTGTGTCACAGCATGGAGAGCTAGCTGAACAATAAACATGAACCCTCTCACTCCCCTCTGCTCCCTGTGCATGTGATGTGACTGGCTGCTTCAGGCTCCTGCCAGTGTGGATTCCTTGAAATGATGGACTCTGACCTGGGACTGTGAGCTTAAAACAAACCTTTTTCTCCCATAAGTTGCTTTTTGCCAGGACATTTTATCACAACAGAAAGGAAATTAGGACAGTTGCCCATCATAACTAGATGATAAGACCCTATTGCTGGAAACACCACATACTTTGGTTGAAGGACATACACAAATAAGTCTGGAACTGATCAGAAAAATCCTTCCTTCCTAGCTAGTTTTCATAGTGCCAGAAGGCTCTTGGGCTACTGAAAGTAAAAAAGGTCGTTATCCGTAACATGGGTGCTGGGAATCAAACCTAGGTCCTCTGCAAAAACAGCAGTGTTCTTAACCACTGACCCTTGCTCTAGCCCCTCTGCCTTGTTTTTAATCAGCACAGTAACTGTACCTACTTGTAGCGTACAGTGTGATACCCTGGCACACGTCCACAGTGAGTAACTGTCAGATCATATCCCTAGGCACCCATCAGTTCTCAGTAGGTGGGAATTCTCTTCCAGCTGTTCTGAAACATGACCATTGCTCACTCTAGTTCCTCTAATAAACAGAATACCAGAGCATACTGCTTGTCTGACTTTAGTTCTGTACCCACTTCCCTGCCCACCCCTTTTACGCCTTACCTCTAGCAATTACTACTCTATTCTTTACTTCTACAGAATCAGCTTTTCTGGCTTTCACATGAGTGGAGTCTTGTGGCATGAATGGATAAAGAAAATGTATCTGGTGCCAGGTGTAGGGCACAAGCCTACAATCCCAACACTCAACACAGAGGCAGGAAGATCTCAGTGAGAATCCAGCTAGGGATACATAGTGAGACCTAGTCTCAAAAAGTCAAGGGCTAGCCGGGCGGTGGTGGCGCACGCCTTTAATCCCAGCACTCGGGAGGCAGAGGCAGGCGGATCTCTGTGAGTTCGAGGCCGGGCTGGACCGATAGCCTCCAAAACAATACAGAGAAACCCTGTCTCGTAAAAACAAAAAAAACAAAAAAAAACAAACAAAAAAAAAAAAGTCAAGGGCTAAGGATGAGTCTCTGGAAAGTGCTTACCTAATGCATACAAGTCTTAGCACTAACAGAAACACACACCGTAAACTATAGACACACATCAATACTCAGTGGTGAAAAAGAATGAAGTCCCATCATTTACAACAACATGGATAAACCCGGAGGACACGATGCTTTATGAAATGACAAGTGCTCAAGGTCCCACAGGAGCACTGAGTGGAAGGAGAAGGGGAGCAGATGGAGGAAGGATGGACAATGGGAACTGAAGTACAGGTAGGCAGGAGGAGAACACCCTGTGCTCCAGACATGTCAGGGAGACTACGCACCCAGCCATTCACTATGTTCATAAAGATGTGAAGGGAGAACACAGCCTCCAACATGCAGAAGCAACAGATGCTTGAGGTGGAAATGGTGCCTGCCTGATCTGATCACTACACACTGCAGACAGACATCTCCATGCACCACTAAATAAATACATGATGGGGCCAGGTGATATGACACATACTGATAATCTAGCACTTGGAAGGCTGAGGCAGGAGGAATGCTGCAAGCCTAAGGCCAGCTTTGACTATAGTGAGAACCCGTGTCAAACAAAACAAAACAAAACACAACCCACAGGACCAACCACACACACACACATAAATAAACAAGCCATGAGTGAGTCTTAGTGGCCCTTTGTAAAGTAGCTTGTGGAAGTAGCTCCTAGCAGTAAAGTGAGAACCCGCACTGAAAACACAAGATTAAGCAAAGGAAACTAGCAAGACAGCTTGGGCCACTTCTAAAACAGGCACCTAGCCGCATTTGTGAATAGCCTGGGTCACAACACTGGGAAATGGCACTGCTTCTGTTTCAGGTAGAAACTGAGGCATTGTGCTGGGGATGGGCTGCCCTTGAGGCTTCAGCCAGTCACTACACATGGCAAGAAAAGGCTGTCTGCCAGGGCAAGGCCAGTAGAATGACTGGTCTTTGTCATCAGCTTACTGGATTAGAGATGTCTAGGAGTGGTGAGACATGCCTATGTGTGCTTCCAGAGGGACAGTGACTAGCAAAAGGGGGCTGCCCTGGCTGTAGGCAGTCTAAATGAGTAGTGGAGGAAGCAATGTGTGCCCGGTGTACAGGCCTTCTCTCTCGGAGAGTGCATGGCTGCCATTATCCTCCGCTGACACCAGCCTCCGTTATCTTTGACCTTTTAATGCAGAACCAATACCAGTGACTCCAGGAGCTTCCAGACCTTCAGCACTGGGGCTGATGAGGGGTCCAGATTCTTGGCCTGGGCAGCTACAATGTTCTCTGTCTCACCAGTGCCCACATGGCTGTAGTTGGACCCAGCCCCTATGATGTAAGCGATCCAATAAATACTTTTTTATAATATACACATAAAGACTACTAGTTTCTTTTCCTTCTACAGAACTCTAATGACCACGATAAGGTGGCAGGGGCTACAGCAGCATCTTAAGGGGAACCAATGACTGCAGCAAGCAAATGGTAGAGTTAGACCAAGTATCCACACCTCCCTCAGAATGATTGACATTCTTTACTGTTCAGCAAAAACAGTGAAAAGATGACAATATGATGTGATTTGTGCAAGGTAACCTGGGTCATGACCCCCCAATGGCAGCACAAAGCTGGGGTCTCAATGAGGACAGGAAGGATGGCTATGCTGTGGTGGCCATCCTTACCTGAACTGGACTTGGCCCACATGCTAAGGACATTCAGAAAACACATCACATTCATGCATGCCGTGGCTCCTCTTGGTGGCCCATCCTAGAAAGGCGCAGTTCCCGGGTAGGGTCTCACAGTCCACAGCACCAACAATGGCTTCCCAGGTTCCAGTACAATGGACTCAGGGCTCACGAGAGCAGAATCAGGAGAGCCATGCCAGGGGTGGCTGTTCTGAAGCTGGCCCCACTACATCAGCTTTCTCATACGCCGGTTATGCTTATCCACAGTCAGGGTCGCCTGGTCCACAGCTACGGTGATGCCATCCAGAGCCTCATCCTGGCGCTCGAGCTCTGCCTCAGTGTCCAGTGCCAGTCCCTTCAGCTTGCTCAGGATCTGGAAGAAGCCAAATAACGAGCATTAACTGTTTCCATCCTTATCACAATAGCAAAAGCCTGATGTAATCAAAGGGATACGGTTTTCTGAATCCGGAGGACACAGCCTACAGAGTTGGTGCCTGGACTTGGTCTCAGCACTAGACTTGACCCTGTGGTCCCAGGATGCAGCTGCCCATCACCAGAAAGTGTACATGACCATCCCCGGAGGTGCTGAGTGAAGCCATTGTGGATCGGGCTAACAGAATCACTAGGCTGCATGGCTCACACTGTTAGATACTGGAATGAGCCGTGAGCTTAGTAGAGCAGTGTGCTTGCCATGCTGCAGCAGCTGTGTGCATCTGTGCTCACAACTGTATTCCAGCAAGGGAT